ATATTTAAAAAGAAATTATAATTAGGGAGTCTTCTTTAAAAATCCCTAACTCTCTTTCCAAGTTCCAAGTCAGTCCCTCCCCATATTTTTCTTCCTTTTAACTACCTATCTCCCTAATCATATTCCATTTAAATCCCTCCTATTAAAATAAATGACAAAGAAATTTATATATAACATCATCTCACTATCTACATTATTAAATTATTTTTACTACCCACTATCTACATTATTAAATTATTTTTGCTACCTAAAATACATCTTTCTCACTCTTCTTCCTCATTACTTCTTCTTTCCCGCTTTTTTCTTCTTCAGCAGCGCCGGTGTGTAATTTTTTTTTTCGCAGCTTCATCTCGGCGTCGAATACAAACCGGACCCTGGGGATTTTTCCGAAGGCAACAAATCCGGCGATATTAGGAATTTTTCCGGCCGAAAATCCCTGTTTCTCGGGCCAAAAATTGGTATCTCTCTGTCCGAAAATTCTTATTTTTCCGGCAAGATTGTGACTTTTTCCGGCGAAAACTTGAAGTAGTAAGTAATGTATGCATTACATGAGAATTTTGGAGTTCAAAAATCATCTTTAATTCATATATTTTTGTTTGACTTGTGAAGGATTGAATGTTGAATATTGTTGTTTATATTTACCCTAAAATAAATAAAGTGATCATAATCATTTTTTTCATGTATACTAAATTTATGCTATTGTTAGGTTATATTAGGTGTTATTGACCATAAAACAAAAAAAAATAAATAAGATGAGAATAGTGATAGTACCGCTCTTCATGATTGTGTGTACCTCTGTTTGGATAGATAGTACCACTTTGCTCACTGTTGGTACCATATTTGCTGGAAAATGTGAAGATTTTTTTTTTTTAAATCCAATTATTGTTACATACATGGAAGGGGCACAAAGTGATATATTATGAAGTTGTACATAAAAAGATGAAATATATGTGTTCTCTATAAATCTTGAATCAACTCTTGATGAAGTGTACTCTCTCATTGGTAAGAGATGGCCGATTCTTGGAGATATTGCATCAAAAGAGAGGAACAAATATTTAGGGGCGGCGCCGAGGAATTCCGAAAGAGTGTTAAATACTACGCAATTGCAAATAGGCGCTCTTTTAAGTATCGGAAAAATGACAAGCAGAAGATCATCATTTGTTGTAGCGATGCAGATTGTGAATGGAGAGTATATGCATCGTTATACAAAGGGGATCACCAGTTTGCCACCCGGAAATGCAATCTCGTCCATACTTGTGTACTCATCTTCATTCCAAATAGTGAGTAGTAAATGACACTTTATGTGTAATATTTTCTGTACAATATACTGGCATTTCATACTGCAATATAGGTAATAGTTTTGTGAATTTTAATTGGTGTATTACATTTTCATTCCAGAAAGCTGGTACTAATTGATCAATAACAGGTACTTCGTAGAAGAAAGAGCGGTATTATATCCGTCCAAATAGGTACCAGCCAATGAGTTGAAGTGTATTAAGTAGTGTTTTTCCATTAGTGTGTTGAGTCCGTGACCAATTTGCGATTAAACTTAATTAACCAAGTATCAAATATCATAGAAACTAATGACAAAGTGATTATGGGTCGGTCTTCTTATTTGTTAATTACAAGTAGTACTAGGGACATTATATCTGGTACTATCGCGCCATAAATTGGTACTGCATTACACTATGACTGGTACAACTTTTTGTAAATGTTGAGCAGAGTTGAAATAATCAATTTTTCGTCACAAAAGTTGGTACTAATCTATCAATAATAGGTACTACGTATAAGAAAATGAGGTATTATTTTTGTAGAAGCTGGTACTATTCAATGAGTTGAAGTGTATATTAAGGTGTTTTTCCATGTGTTGAGTTCGTGACTAATTTGCGATTGAACTTAATTAACCAAATATCAAATCTTATATAAACTAATGTCAGAGTGAATATAGGTCGTATAAACATCATTTGCAACCAAAATTTCGGTCTTCTTATGTGTTCATTACAAGTGATACTAGGGACAGGATATCTGGTACTAACTCTTCATAATGTGGTACTGCCTCACATT